GTTTAGGGTATAGGGTTTAGTTTTTCCAAGTTCAGGATTCAGCTCGTTGATCAGGACTGGCAAAGGGTTGATTTTTTGCTTAAGATTAAGGCTTCCTACTTCCTAGTATGGGCCCTTCGCCGATTTGTGGAGATTACAGGGGCTCATGAAGGCATGCTGGGATGCTTCGGCTGTGAAGGTTCAAATAAACCGAAATCTTGTAGCTTCATTTTCTGACGTGGAAGATATTGTAAACAAACCAAGTAGCAACTACATGAGATCTTGAAAGTGGGGCGGGTGCGCCAATCAACCTCTCCGGGAGCGCCAACCTCTCACAATAAGATCCAGCTTCCAGAAGCTGTTGGAAGGCACTCTACTGGTTCTCTGCCACACTACAGCTTGTGTGTTGAAGCTTCACACACCTCAAAAGCCGGAATATCTTTTTACTAGCCAATGTTCAATTTCGTTGCACGGCTTTTCTGGGAATTTGTTGTTTCTCCATGAAATGTGGCATAAAGCACAAGATCAAATTGATCAAAGGCGAATTGCAGGAAAGGCGCCACTGTCTCTGAGTGAATAACGTTGCCCTTCCAGTTGATGGACTCGATCTTGATCTCGTCCTGCGTTAGAAGCACGGGAGCGGGTGCCAGCCCTTGAAGAATTTTGGTCCCAAGTCTTCAAGGGGGTTGTTGGGTTTTCCGTGGAACTTGGGGGTGGCATCAGGGCATGGGGATGCTAAGCCATAAGTCCTGAATGCTTATTTCGTGAAGAGGCGTAAGCATCCTTGATCCCCAAGCCCTTGGCCCTGAGAATGGGAATTACGGCTGCAAACTAAACAACAAAACGACCCGAAACTTGCTGTTATTGAAAAAAGGAGTGGGAAAGTACCTGCAAGGACTATACAAGGGGCTAGAAGCCTATAGCGGTGCCGCCTCTAAACAGATCAGAGGGATCCACTCCACCCCTGAACCCTAAACTACTTGGCACCAATGAGAATACTTTAGGTTGCTGCCAGCCATCCTTGGACATGGAGAGGTCAAAGAAACCATACCTGCAGATGTGCGCCGACAACAGCAAGCTTTAGGGTTTAGGGTTTGAAC